CGGCATATATCAACAAAATTTTGCTTGCCACTTCTTTTTAAAATATATTTCTCCAATCAGATTATCAAAATTTGTACAGGAAAATATAATTGAAACGGAAGTGGCACGCGCAAAATTTTTTTCCGATTTTCGAAATCGTGGTATAGCTAAGAATTTTTTTTATTTATAATTTTATGATTTGTGTTTTAAAGAAATCTAAAAAGCAACGCGTAAATCGATATATAATAATATATAATAAAAATATAAAAACATATGTAAAATATGTGTATATACGATATTTAGAATAATAAAAAAAATATTTTTTTTTTTTTCCTTTCTTTTAGCACGTTATTTTCAATGGAATACGTCTTATTCATGGATTAAACAAAGAAAAATTTTTGGGGGGGTCAACGCCATCTCGCGTTTGGATCGTGGAAGTTTCGACTCGTTACTAGCATAGCAGAATGTGCAAGGAGGTATTCGTGACGTCACAGAGAAGAAGAGCAACACTGCGCGAGAAGGACAGAGAGCACCTCCCACCATTTTAAGGACATCGCATGAAAAATTCATTAATTAATCGTTTTCTACTTAAAATTTCGATACTTTTAAGCTCATATCTTAAAATTAGAACCTCTAACAAGTTTCTCGTACCAATTTTAACGAGAAATTCTTTTCCATTAATTATTTATTAACGATTAATCCATCATAGGAATCGATACATCGAAAACGCCATGTTGGAAATTCATTAATTAATCGTTTTCTATTTACAATTTCGGCACTTTTAAGCTCGTATCTTAAAGCTAAGACTTCTAACAAATTTCTGATATCGATTTTAACGAGAAATTCTTTTTCATTAATTATTTATTAATGATTATCGCAAAAATTATCTCGTATATTCGCTTCGAGATCGAGTAATAAACAATTGATTTATTCGTTCAAATAATAACAGAAACATACGAAAAAATTGTACGTGAAAGTAGAAGAGGAAGCAATGTTACACATTCATACATTTATATTTATAAATAAATTCCATAATAGTAATAAATTAATGAAAGAAGCATCGCAATTGATATCGTCGATCCGACGTTTCGATTAATTGTTTAATAATTAATCGAAAAAGATTTCACGTTAAAATTGATACGAGAAACTTGGCTGAAGTTCTATCTTTAAGATGCGAATCTAAAAGTGCATAAATTTTTAATAAAAAACTAATAATTAATTAATTTTCAATGTAGCGACTTTCAATAATCGAAATGGTGACAGATATTAGGAACCGCATAACCAAAAATAGTGGCACGTTTTTCTCGATGACGTCACGAATACCTTCTTGCACATTCTGCTATGCTAGTAACGAGTCGAAGCTTCTACGATCCAAACGCGAGATGGCGTTAGTTACTCTAAACTCATTTTAATTTATGACCGAAATGTATTCCGTCGATAATGTAAATAACTTCTAACGTATAGTAAGAAGCAAATTTCTTTTTATATTTAATTTTATTTTTTGATTTATACGTGATACGATATAACGCTGATTCAGAAGCATTCTTTTATTTTAATACGATTCTGATTATTTTTTTTTTTTTACTTAGCATTTATCGCAACGTAGTTGTTTGACAAAAATAAATGAAATTTGCGCGATCAGATGGAACGTGAGGAAAATTCTCGTAACGCAAGTACACGAAGAAATATAAAAAAAGGTAAGAAATTGACGTGGAAGCGAAAATTGAAGGGAATGTTGAAAAGATAGACGTATCGCAAATAATTGCCACGTGCAGTTTAACAGCTACCTGAGATGACAGGGTAGAGGGAAGGTACCACGGCAGCTATTTAACATTCCGCCTCATTTCCTGCCGCCACCCTCTTCCTCAGCCCCCGATCCCGTGTCCCCGCCCTTCCCCTATTTCTCCTTGCTCGTTCCGGAGGAAACGTTGCGCTCGATGCGAAAATTGCTTCGCCAAGAATTATTGACTATAAATTACTCGTCTCGCTACCCTAACCTCTCGGTTGCACCGTTACTCATGCAAATGACGCAGCGAAGCCCGCGGGCCCTTTTCGGTTTCTCTCGCTCGTTCTACACACCGCCTTATTCACTGTTACCACCGAACCAAAGAGCAAACGGAAAAGTAGGTTGGAAAAGGCGACTCTCTCGATATTGGCCGCCAATTGCCGCGCATTTACATTTTATTACTACGCGTACTCGAGACAGACTATCGCTCCTCCCGGCCCCTCTTTATACGTTTCTTCTTCCCCCTCCCCTGGCCATGGTTCGCCACCTTACCGTGTTTCGATTGTCATTGGGGGAGGGGAAGGGATCGCGATTCCAAAGATTCTTCTTGTTCCAACAGACGTCGAATACCTCCACCCTCGGGGGGATATTGCTCTTTCACGGCTTCCCGTGAAACGACACCGATCAATTACGAATCGGTTAACGAATGTTGTACGGTAAAAAATTCTTTCTCTCTCTCTCTCTGTTTCTCTCTTATTTTATATCGTAATATCGGATTGTATAAAAGACAATTGTTAAACGATAAAGTATTTATTTATATTATCGAGATTGAGTTTTCAATGAAATTCGACGTTTTTGAGACGTATTTTTTTTCATAATTTTTCTTAAAGAAGGAGAGATTGAAAAAGGAAAAAGGAGGAAACGAGAGAAGGGAGGTGAGGAAAAGGAGAGAATGGAAGAGAAGGAAGAAAAAGAACGCGGTACACTGAGGCTAAATTGAATTTTTTTCAATTCATTCCACTTCCCACAAGCGAGCTCAGAACTCGATGAGTATCTGTACGCGACAGCGGCGCCTATTCGCGGTAAATTCTCATTATTTTTAAATTGGAAATGAGAAGTGTGCGCGGCGGGTGTGGTTGAGAGCCTACCGCCTTTATCGCCGTAGAATAAAAAAAAAAAAAAACCAGGAAGCCCTGGTGCTGCGGCGTCTGTATTATTCCAGACCGATGCCTATCCTAACTGCGGAAGCGTCGCAAAAATTAATTTAATTACCTGGCCGGTGTCAATAACAGTAATCGTCCCCCGATTTAAACTCCGATCCTCGAGTATAATCGGCCTAATTTTCCGCATCGTCCGCATTATTAATCGCGCCTTATCGCTTCGATCATCTATGTAAATATTTCTCCAATCAAAAAATGCACGCGATATAAACGCGAATACTCTCTCTCTCTCTCTCTCTCTCTCTCTATTTTATAACGTAACGTTTAAATGTACGTAGCAAAAATTTATGGATTCTTTTTTTGCGTTAAATATTAATAATGAAAAAATGAAAAATAGTATCGCGATAACGATGTAATCTCATGGTTCGTTTCGAAAATATTCTCGGGTCTATCACTTATCTTTGAACAATCTTCTATTATCGAAATTAAAATTCATCGATCGGATATGCATATATATATATATATATATATAGAGATGAAAACAACAACTGTTGAGTAAATTTTTTAAATTTCTTATAGAAAATTATTTTAAAGAAAAGGAAAAAACACTTGGTTTGGTTCAAACTCATTTATTAATCGGAGCCAAGATACAGTCTGTCCTCGAGGCAGTACTTTTACAATAACATGGTATATTATATTTCTTGAAAAATAAGAATTGTACTAGATTAGTAATAGTATAAATCGAGAGTATTAGATATTTCGCTGCATCTAAGGACAAAAATTTCATGTACAATATATTAGATTTACAGATTCAGGCCACAGCGTCGAAATAGGATATTTAGACAGAATAGACGTGATGAACATTCGATACGAAGGAGGATACAGAGCGAGTGGGGGAGAGGGGAAAGTGGAGGGGGAAGAGGTAGGTCTAAACGTACGGTCGTTCAACGAGACAGAACGTACATAATTATACGTTGGAAAATATTTGGCCGTACGTTCGTGCGAAAATGAAAATTCTCGGATAATATATAATTGTAACGATGGATCGATTTGTTGAAATTAATAATAATAATAATAATAATAGATGAAAAATAAATTCGCAAAAACAACTCCTCTTTTTTTTTTTATCGAGCTAGAAGAGAAGAATCGTGCGTTATATATGCGAAAAGAATTTCTAATTAAATCGAACGACGATATTAAAGAGACGAACTAACTTTACAACCGGATAAATCTACACGTGCGTGTATGAAAAATAATTTCTTCGATCGAGCATACGATAAATCTCTGCTTTTTATGATTTCCTGCCCTGCGTTACCTCGACACAGTGAAGCGAAACGAAATATTAAGAGTTAAAATTTGGATAATGCATTAATCTCCAATCAATAATTATCTTTATATAGTTTATCGTTCTGTATCGTATCTAGTAGTTTTTAAATTACTTCATTTATTACAACAATAAATTATTTTCAAACATATGTCAACCTGTTTGATATGATAAATAATTCAGAATCACCTAAAACGATAGTCTTTATACAACAAGTGTTAGAATATATTATATTATCAAACACTTAAGTAATAATGTATTTCTTGTTTCTTGTCTGCAACTATTATACATTTAACTACTATTCTATTTTTAGAGCGGTAAACAACTTTTTCTCACTTTCACAAAAGATCCGAGAAGGATATTTTTATCCGCGTAATACACTATTGGTTTCTTTTTCTTCTTTTATAGGATATCGGTATAGTAGTAGTAGTAGCAGTAGTAGTAGTAGTAGTAGTAGTAGTAGTAGTAGTAGTAATAGTAGTGTAGTTAGTAGTAGTAGTAGTAGTAGTAGTAGTAGTAGTAGTAGTAGTAGTAGTAGTAGTAGTAGTAGTAGGAGTAGTAGTAGTAGTAGTAGTAGTAGTAGTAGTAGTAGTAGTAGTAGTAGTAGTAGTAGTAGTAGTAGTAGTAGTGGTAGTGTAGTAATAGTAGTAGTAGTAGAGTAGTAGTAATAGTAGTAGTAGTAGAGTAGTAGTAATAGTAGTAGTAGTAGTAGTAGTAATAGTAGTAGTAGTTCCCGTTTATGTTATATATATATTTATAATCACACGATAGCGGTTTTTTTGATTTTTTTTGTTTTTTGTTTTTTTTTGTTTTTTTTTTTGGGGGAGGGGGATTTTATTTTATATCTCAGAAAATCTGTGGCGTATCGAGCTGCTGGATTTCGAAGACTATCGAGACTATCAAGACGATAAAAGCTGTCGCGAGAAAAGATACTGGTTTAATAAAGTTAAACGAATCAAAGTAGAATTAATTCTCGGTTCTCTTGTGTTTGTTATACTTGTGTGTGTGTATAATATATATATATATACATATACGTATATATACGTATATATGTAATGTATATCACAATCCCAAAATTCGAAAAACTTTCCATATGGATATTACAACGATATTCGAGCAAGTCCACCCTGTTTCTTGCCGTGGACCACAATGGTAATATTAATACTCGATAGTAAATACATCTCGTGACAAAAGGTATTTATGGTTGTTTCACCAACTAACCTCTACTTACGTATATTGTCCGAGGGAAATTATATCAAGTAGTTTGTTTGACTCAACTCGAAGAAATTGCGATCTAATTAATTCTCTGCAGGACACGTTATATAAGTTTTTTTTTTTTATATGGGTGATTAGTACCATTAACATCAACTATACAATTATTGCTATGGAAGCAGTACGACGATTCAGAATCTCGATAAATTCAAATGAACTTACGCGATACATACTATATACGGCGCATACGTATGTATATGTATAATATATATTGTCTTTAAAATAATCTAATCTACGTATAATTTTTTAAAATTACAGTAGCTCTTCTTCCCTTCTCATCGTACCATAAATTCAGTTGAATTCATCATCGACGCTGAACTAGCGTAACTTACAACACTTGTTATTATACAAACAGCTCTTTGTTTTAACGTATAATATTTCCTCTACTGCATTTGTTTTCCTTTATGTACATAGCGTATCTAGCGATAACTACGATTAATAACAACTAATATATAGTTTATCAACGATGCGACAGGTTTATCTCGATCGATAATACTAATATAATCCCGAAGATCCGATACATCGTAGGTAAATCATATATTACACTGCATTCAACTTTTACTCAATAACGCTATTATCTCGATTAATTAATTTAATTTACCTTTATTGTCAATACATTCGGAACAACGTCGCTGCCAATTTCGATCTTTTTTTCTTTTTCTTTTTTTTTGTTTTTTTTTTTTTTTTTTTTGTTTTTTTGCTACTTCATTTCATCTTCATCCTCGACAAATTAATCGTAACGTGTTTTTCATTCGTTCCCTTTTTACAATGGGAAACGGGATGTACAAGATGTTACAGGACGTCCGAATGGATTAACGAATATATAGCGATCGGTTAAAAGGCGAATTGTTACATAATTGTGTATGTATTGACTCGCACGTAGTTGAATCCTATGTCTGCCTAAGATAGTACTTGGTTTCCTTTATATCTTATTTAACCTATATATGCGCTATAATAATTTGTTTTATCTCGAATATAGCAATCACCCCCGCTTCTCTTCGATTTTATCCGTGTTTGGTTCACACGTTAACGTGCATATCGTTCGTCTCTTCGCTTTATACCTTATGTATAAGTAGTATATATATATATATATATATATTTAGAGGTTATTACACATTTTTGAGAAATTTCGCGCATATATATATATATATATATATATATATATATTTAATCTTATCTGTGTTACACGTGTATATACGATTCTTTTTTTTTTCTTTTTTAATATTCTTTGTTGAAAGATGTGCGTGTGTATATATATATATATACCTGCTTGTAAAAGTATCTCATATATGTTTCCTTTGCTCGTGTTCCATTTTTACTCTCTCATTCTCTCTCTTTTTTTTTTTCTCGTCTTTGAAACACGCACGCACGCACGCATTCACGCATTCATTCAAATTCACACATCGAAGCTCGTACTCGCATCGCTCGCATGCCCTTTATCATTATGTAACATGTTTCTTGTGTGTGCGTGTAGTAAAGTTCGCGATTCATCCAATTTTCGAGTTTCTCCATACCATCTTCTAACCGACGTACCTAGTACAGACAGAACTCATAGGTGTGAAATGTGAACGCTAGATTACAATATAATAATCGTACGCAATTCGAAATTCGAATGTCGATCGGTGGACTCGATCGATGTCCTCATAGCTGGTACCATTTCTTGTCCTTGTATTTGAGCATCAATCCGTGGGCAGACTGCGAGAAGGTCTCGGCTTCCGACATCATCCGCGCCGTTCTCTCCTCGAGTTGCGACAGCTTCTCGCCGCGTTCCAGCACCATTTGATGGGCCAAGTTCACCTCGCCCGTGGCTGTCGTCACGCGCTCGCGAAGATTCTCGGCCCCCGCGTTCGGCCCCGGTATGTGCTTTGCCACGGTGCGGGATGCTCGACCGCTCGATTCGCCGACTGGAATTGTTGTCATTGATCGGTTATTCGGTGAAATTTTTTTTTCCTTTTTTTTGGTAAAATCACTCACATAATTCTTCTCTGTCGAGACTTCGCGATCCACCGCCGAACAGCCCTTTGAAGAAACTCTCTTTGGGCGGTTCGGGCATGTCGTGACCGATGAACAGGTCTCCCATCATCTCGGTTAATTCGCCGCTGAGAATTGAAACGAAAGATGAAAAGAAAGGAAGGAGGAGAATTTTTTTATTATTCAATGGTGAATTCATTACCAAAATTGACTTGAAACTGAAAACTTTTGGATCTCGGTAGGCGAGGAGAGGTACAAACCGTGGCCTCTATTGCTGAAGCAAAGCGTTTTTGCAATTCTGTAAAACAAGACATGGGATCGTTATTGATATATTTCTTCAGGGTATACGATATACGAATATAGGTTTTGTCGGGACGTAACATCGAAATTGAGAAAAATATATATTTATATGTAAAACTTTTTTTATCGATAATAAAAGGGAATAATGAAAAATCGTTGATATTATCGATATAAATAATAAATAGATTAGATAGAAAGGAGGAATATATAGGAATCGAAAATAATAAAATATATCGAGAAATATAATATAGGTGTATATATAGGTAATAATATGCGCGCTAGGCATTGCATATTGTATAAAATACATATTGTGAAAAGTGTATTTTATAGATCACTTACTGATCGGTATCGCCATTAACAAAGAGTTGATTACCCCATATGGACAACATGGGGTCTACAATGCCATGTTTTGTAGTCTGAAAACTGTTAGAGATTACAGAGACAGGAGAAAAGTGAGCGTTAAGCCATACACGAGTAAAAAGAGATTTTTTTTTTTTAGTTCGCATTAATTAGCATTAACCCTTAAAACATCAACAATCTTTTTCTATCTTTCAGATAATATATATTTTCAAAACAAAATAATATATTCCACTTGATCCCAGTTTTTTTTTTTCCAAATATAAGTATATATAAGAAAACTATGTAAGAAAAATGAAATATAATGATAATAATAATAATGTAAAATTAATGTATCGTTTGTTGCTAAAAAGTTGCTGCCATCTTAAATTTAATATAAAGATTAAATATAGCGAATTTCCACAATATTCATATTCTGGTTAGTTAAAAAATTAGATTATGAATTTGATTAATTTTGATTTGATTAGAAATCTACGAAAAAAAAAAAAAAAAAGAAATATCGATCGAGTGATAATTTTAATTTTACGCGATAGAAATAAGAGAGATTTTTCTTTTTCTTTATTCGATAACATAAATGATCGAGTAAATTTTTATTACAATTTAAAAATTTGTTTCGTTCTATCAGATGATATGCTAATTAAAAATTTCCTGGAAAATCAATAAATTAAAATTTAATGGAATATTAATCCGAAGTGTTAAGATATATATTATAAATACTTATATATATATATACTATACTACAATTTACGTTAATAATGCTGAGGAAAAAATGTGATATAATTATCGAAAAAGGAATAACAATCGAGTAATAATTAAATTTTCTAGTAACTAAAGAGATTTCTTGTAAAAAAAAAAAAAAAAAAAAAAAAAAAAAGTAGCACATATCTCGAGGGATTTCATAATTTGTAAAAGTATAAAATATATATTTTTTTTCGAGTAACTGATAATATATAAATATACTAGCAAGAAGCTACATAAAAATATTTTATATTTTATACATTCTTAAAGAATTACGTTAACTAACTAATTACATTAATACGTTAATCAGGATATGAATATTTATATTATTCACTATAAGTAGTTAATAAGAAGAAACAATTACTACAATAAATAAAAAAAGTATAAAAATTGAAGATATCATTTTTGAAATGAATAACGACCAATTCATTAAAATAATTTGCAATTTGAAAAATAGTTTTTCAACTATGTGGAAGAATATAAAGAAGTGCAATATAGAATTGTGCTTGTATAGTAAAGAATTTCTACGCAAGGCATGCTATAAGTGTATTAAGGGTTAACGAATATATACATATGTACATATGTATATATAATTAAATATAATAAAGAAATTACATGCTATAAGTATTAGTAAAATTAAATTATCGTTATCATATCACTAATCATAATTAATTATTTATTATATCGGTATTAAATATAAGATATAATGTCTAATCAACATTCAATCAGCTACATGGTGCATAACGCTATACAATGAAACAACGAATGTTTAAATATCACGATATTTATTTATTATGAGCAAAACTATACCTGAAATTTGTAATTTGAAATTGTTCTCAAATTCGTTCTTCAAATTCATTCATGTATGTGCGTGTGTATTAGCCAAAAAATTTTCAATTTTTTAATCTTATGCGATATAATTTTTTTTTTTTATTAAAAACAGCAATAACGTGCTCGACAGTAAAGTAAAATAAAAATTATCATATTTGAAATCAAATCATATCAAAATTAATTTTTAAACTTTCACGTTTACTTTTAACGAAACGATTAATTTTTCTATAACAGGGTAAAAAGATTTAAATGTTATATCAGTAATGACATAAAATTTATATAAAATTTTGACGAGGAATTAATATATATAGCCATTTATTTTTAATATCTTACCTATATTTCTTTTCATTCTTTGTTGATAGCAATTTTTAATAGATTAAAATTATAATATTTCTCTAAATAATAACAAAATTATACAAAATTTATCAATCAATGTTATAAAAATACTTTAAAACAGAAAGGATTATAAAAATATAATTGGAGTTAAATTTTTAAAGAAATTAAGAATTAGATACGAAAGCGCTTTCACACGTGCATTGTCTACACAAAATTGTTATCTTTTTTTTTTTTTTTCTTTCTTATTAATCGCTATTATATTTATTGCAAAAAATGATCAGTTAAAAGTATTAGCCAAGAGAAGAATTTTATTAATATAAAATAAGTTTTACGCTACCGTTCAATATAAACGTATAATATTACAAAGTGTTGCTGCATTAAGAAAAGTTGCAGTGGCATGTTAGTGCATTATATACCATGTGCAATTGTAATCGTTATTTTGCCGCAAAAAGCAAATTATTCAGGGTATAATTGTTATTCTTACCTCAAATCTATAAGCGGTAGAAAATCGACGTCTATAAGTGGCCTCAGACTTGGCAAACTATACGTGGCTATGTGACCATTCGAAACGTAACAAACGAGACACACGTTATCTGAAATAAACAAAAGGGCGCTCCTTTACAACAAACGAAACTTTATTGGAAAAATTCAGACCCGTCGAATCGATCGAAATTAAGATAAAATTTTGTATAATAAGGATATAAAAATATAATATAAAATATATAATATAAAAATAATATAAAAATAATATAAATAAAATATAATATAATATAATAAAATAATATAAATATAATATAAAAATAATAAGAAAAATAATTAGAGATATGAATCTTTTAAAGTAATCTTTGCTTTGATCGCATATTCCTTTACAATTTTATTTCGTTGGAAAGATTCAGATCCCACGAATCGATCGAGATTAAGAAGATAAAATTTTGTATAATAAGAAATATAAAAATAATTAGAGATATGAATCTTTTAAAGTACTAATCTCTGCTTTGATCGCATATTCCTTTACAATTTTGTTTCGTTGGAAAGATTCAGATTAGACGAATCGATCGATTAAAAAGATAAAATTTTATAATAAGAAATATAAAAATAATTAGAGATATGAATCTTTCAAAGTACTAATATCTTTGATCACGTATTCCTTTACAATTTTATGGAAAAATTCAGATCTCATGAATCGACCAAAAATTGATTGAAGAAAAAATTTTGTACAAAAAGAAATATAAAAATAATTATAGACCTTTTAAAACCGTAATCTCTGTTTTGATCGCGTGTTCCTTTACAAACAATTTTATTTCGTTGGAAAGATTCAGATCTCATGAATCGACCAAAAATTGATTGAAGAAAAATTTTGTATAATAAGAAATATAAAAATAATTATGGATCCTTTAAGACTCTGTTTTGATCACACGTTCCTCCAACGAATCGATCGAGACTAAGAAGATAAAATTTTGTATAATAAGAAATATAAAAATAATTAGAGATATAATTCTTTTAAAGTATTAATCTTTTTGATTACGTATTCCTTTAATTTTATTTTATTGGAAAAATTCAGATCCCATGAATCGATCAAAAATTGATTGAAGATTCCATTTTGTTTTCCTCCAACGAATCGATCGAGACTAAGAAGATAAAGTTTTGTATAATAAAAAATATAAAAATAATTAGAGATATGAATCTTTTAAAGTATTAATCTTTTTGATCACGTATTCCTTTAATTTTATTTTATTGGAAAGATTCAGATCCCATGAATCGACCAAAAATTGATTGAAGATTCCATTTTGTTTTCCTCCAACGAATCGATCGAGACTAAAAAGATAAAATTTTGTATAATAAGAAATATAAAAATAATGACCTTTTAAAGTCGTAATCTCTGCTTTGATCACGATATGAGTTTCGGCCAGTTGTTGCCTGTATAAACAATTTTGAGATGGCAATGCCACGACTCTCGCCTGCTTCTCCGACGCCAATACGACAAATTGACGATCCTCGAACCCGTCTCCTGTACTTGCTTGCGTATTCATCGATGGAGACATTCGACTGTTCGTACATTTACTTTGACTTCCTGTGAAACGGGCAACATAAACACATTTATCTTCGTAAGCCGAATCGTTTTTAAACAAATACACTTAAACTTGTTAATCCCATAAATCATACACAATTATCTACGATAACGTACTATTGCGCTCTTTGCTGTCCATGCTGTCGTCCTTCCAAGACTCGTAAGAGTATGGAATCAGGGCACCGTTACAATCCAAGAATGACATCGACAGTATGCATCCTTTCAACTTAAACGTAGATCCATCTGTGAAAAATATGGGATTAAATTGTGTAAGTACACAAAAATGATATGTCAAAATTTAATAAGTCCAAATTACCAATAAAGTTGCTTCGATGATCTATCGAAGTTCGAAAGATAATAATAATAATTGGAAATAATTGCCGTTCACTTACTGCACGTAGAAACAACGACTGGATGCGCGTGTCGTTCTCCACGAGCTGGCGTGTTAAATATCACCGTTTGTATAGATCCTAAAGAGGTGCCGATCCAAAGCGTTGGCACAGGGCTGGTATCTTGATTGGCGAAAGAAAATAATAATAATAAAAAAAAAAAAAAAGAGAGAAAAAAGAAAAAAATAAAATAAATCTTTAGATACAATCCGAGAGAATTAGAAGAGAGAGGGATCATGCTAATTATACAATAAAGAAACATACCGCTCTTTTTCGTGTAGGAATCTGCGAATGTAAGGCAGCTGATGGTTTCCGTGGTGATATTCTCGAGCGACGACATGCTCGAGCTCCTTGACCGTTGAAACGAACTGTCATATTTGTCTACCCGGCCAGCAATCCCGAGAATAAATGGAAAATTAAAATACCGTAACGTTGCGCAAACGTATTATTACGATTATTATATTGTAATGGACACGACGAGCATGCAACACCTATAATATTCACAATAAACATCCCCGACAAATTTAGCCATTTTTTTAAAATGAAAAATTGAATCGCAAGGAAAATCGCTAAAGAGATCGACAGATCAGATCAGAAGTATAATAATAATAAGAAGAAAAAAAAAAAAAAAAAAAAAAAACAAAAGGAAAAATCGAAATTGATGATTTCGGTCTATATTGACAAGACAGATGTGATGTGACGAGAGAAATAGCGATAATTGTAAACAACAATAATAATAATAACAGCGACAGCAACAACAACAACTATCACGACTAGAGTGTATATCTCTCTTGATATCTATATATATATATATATATATATATATATATATATATATATATATACATATATATATAGGACAGTTCACAGAATAACATATCTTCCATTCATTTCAACATTCATCAAGTCGATCCGACGTGTATCTATTCTGTCGCAGAATTGGAAATTAGAATGCCAACGCAAAATGAAAGGATAAAATAATAATATATATATATATTAAAAAAAGGAAACAAATAACGTTATTGATAATTGTTATAATCGAAAGATTGGTGAATCGGAAGCGAATAGTGTGACGACTCGACACTACGTGGCGCGATTAATCATGCGCAAATTACGTGTCTAAACTGAACACGTAATAATCCCAATTTCCATTCCACGTTCCATCGTGTTAATTATCCCTCGCCAAAAACTTGAATCTATAGATTTAAAGAGATTTTAATTAATTAATTAATTAATCTTCCTGCATTTGCCGAAAATGTTAAAAATCGAAACGCGCATAAAAGAAAATTTACTTTTTCAAATTTTGCAAATCATGGAATTAAATTTCGGATCCGTTTTATTAGCATTCTAAGTGAAGAAGTTATTCGCTTCAACTTGTCGATTGTAATTATCAAAAGAGATCGTTTTTTTCTTTTTTTTTTTTTTTAATCCAATCCTAAATTAATAATCGAATAATAAATAAAAGGAAATGTCGTTGGAATGAAATTTTTCGCCTCTGCATAATATTCATTTGCAATGCGCTGTTGTCCTCGAGAAAAATTAAATCTCGATCGATATTATTGAAGTGACGAGTTGCGCCACTCGATCATTTCGATAACGAAATTATAATCCACGCTCTCAAAAAACGCTCTCGAAACCTCGAACGCAAAAGGCGTTGACCTATTTTTTTTTTTTCTCTTTTTCATCAAACTCAAAACGTGAATTTTTGAAATAATATACGAGACGATCGAATCGAATAAGAGGGGAGAGGGGAAAAAAAAAAAAATCTTTAGTAGCAAGAACACGATTATGCAGTTTGCAATTTAAAAAAGGCATTCTGCGACATCCCTGCGAATTCTACGCTTTTGAAGATATATTCAGAATGCATACAGTATATATCCGCGTAATATGCACAAGATTTTAATAAAAGTTTCAATCAAGTTTTTTTTTTTAATAATAATACAATTCGTAACTTAAACATGATTTACCCCCCCCCCCGGAAGATTAACATTATTATTATTATTATTATTATTATTATTATTATTATTATTATTATTATTATTATTATTATTAATTAAGTTGAGACGTAATAAATTCATCTTTATCAACATCCTGTGCACGTTCGATGTTTCGTTTAGTTATATACTAGTGTACACCGAGCGGAAGAACGAACTGAATCGTTATCATTAGGCAACATTTATCAGTAAAAGAAAAGGAAAGGAAAGAGAAAAGAAAAAGGAAAAAGCCAACCGAAAGATTAGGCAGATAGATTGGTAAAATCGGAAAGAGAACGCGGAAGAAGAATATATCTTTCATCAGAGGTGCATCAGAGTGAGAGAGAATTAGAAAATCGCACGCAAAGTTGGAATTGGAATGTGCCGTTTTGTGTTTTTTTTTTCTTTGAGAGAGAAGAGAGAGATAGAGAGAGAGAGAGAAGTGGAGTTTGACCAAGAGCGAGAGTGAACAAATCTTTAGGAGAGAGAGAGAGAGAGAGAGAAAAAAAAAGATGCGATGCAGAGTAATAAAGTCTGCCCAGAGTATTAATTATAATAATCCACACATCATGTCAGCAAGAAAAAGACCAGACAGTATTTAACGTAACATAGCGAAAAAAGAGGCACGATAACGAAGACCAACCTTAAAAAAAAAGAAAAGGAAAAATTTTTTTCTACGCATTTTTTCCCGACACACATGGTTTCTAAGAGAACGAGATCGAGAAAACGCTGGTCTCCATTAATCGTATCGAACCTATCGTAAGAAGAATCGCTCTATTAACGATGATTGAAATCAAAGGAAGAACGAAACGGAGGAAAAAAAGCGGTTCAGAGAAGAATAGATTCGTTGATCTCTGATAAATATATATATATATATAAAATATACGTAGAAAAGAATCGATATAATCTACTAATCAAGTATATTTATATATACATATATATATGTGTGTTATTTATATGTATATATGTATATAGCAATTGTATATAGGTAGATAGAGATATTAATAATGATAATTCATCGAAATAATACTACCGAAACTGTTATACTGTCTGGTGTTGGAGAGAATATTCTGGTAGTTGAAAGAAGGTTGCGGAGCTGTCGACGAATAGCTTCGTATCTCGGCGCTACGGTGGCTAGGGATCAACGAAGCCGTTGGAAAGTTGTTCAACGAGGAAGAATCCAGCTCATAATGGTTGGTAGTGGTACTCAGACACTTCTGGAGCTTTCTTATACCCTGAGCACGAGATTGACGTGGCTCGACCGTAAGGGATTTGCGAGAACTCGCATTCGAGGTGGAGGCGACGACATCGTCGTCGCAACCGGCATTTACCACGGTATTCCGAACACCTGATCGAGGGCTAGTGCACGCACCGCCCGCGGCGCTACTCTCGCTATCGGAACCGCCGTCGCCGCACGGGCTACAGGGGCTATTACTATCGGCGTTGTCACTTTTCTCACCGCAACCACCACTACCACCAACGACCATTGTACTTCTTCGCGTTATCGCCAACACGCACATCCCGTTCATCTACAAATCACCGACAGATCAACTGTGAAGAAAATATAATGAGCAGTCTTGTGTATCCCTGTTTTTCAACTTCCAAAAAAAAAAGAAATATATCGCCTTCTTATGCTCTCTTATAATATTATTACGATAATTAACTTCTTATTCTTCCAAGTAATTTATTTCCTTCGTTCAAATGCAGCGCAAATGACTGCGCATTCGAACGTGTGTACAATACAAAAGATGCTAAAAAGGATAAAATTTAGTTCAATTTTCGTTTTTTTTTATTTATTCAAGAATAAGAAAAGTAAAGAAAAGAAAAGAAAAGAAAGGAAAAGAATAAAAGTCTTAGAAACTAATTTGGCAACGTTGGTGCGAGAAATTTGTCTTACGTTATTGTCTTATCTCTACTATTATTTCCGCTTTAAAAGAATAGAGATAAAATACAGAGAGAAAGAAAAGGAAAGGAAAGTTGATTTAAAGTTTAAAATTATGTTGATATTAAAGAACAATTTTTTTTATATAATATATATATATATACCTGTGGGTTCCACGTAATCTAAAAATTCTAATAAAGAAATTTTGGTCAACAAGCGCAAAACGTCAGAATCGTCGCAGCACGACCACGTGTGCTAAAGCTTTCACCTTTTCCACTGTTCGACTTAAATCCTATTCTTTCGCAACGCATATTTGTAACAAGTTTTTTTTTGAGAAAAATATTTTCGTCCGTTAGACTGAAAACGGAATTACGACAATTATCGATGCTAGAAGAATAAAAAAAAAAAATTAATCGATACGTATATCGTTATCCATAATATTTTTCGTTCAATAATATATATATTTCAAACTAAAAAAANAAAAAAAAAAAAAAAAAGAAAAAAGAAAATCGTAAAAAGAATGAAAAATTATTCCACTGTTTTTTCTTTTTTTAATTCAATTTCGTCTAATCTAATCCAAATTACATCGATCGTTTCAAAATAATTGGACAACAAGGATTCCCTCCTACCTGTCGAGGCTAAATAAAAAAGAACGAAACGATTAATGAGAAAAAATATACGTGACGGAAAATATTCTATTTTCTTCGTATTAATGATTGTTTCTAAGATTTGCTATGTGGAATATCGGCATATATTATGCAGAGTCCTTTATAGCAGTCAGTCAATGTCGATAAAAAAAAAAAAAAAAAAAAAAAAACGAGAACACAAACGATAAAGTATTATGCGGACGTACACGATGATGCAATGATGTTATTTGGGAAAAAGAAAGAAAGAAAGAAAGAAAAGAAAAAAAAAAAAA